AAGTTTAACATGTTTTAAAACAGTGCACGTGTGTAATGTAACTTCAATCCCGGTTTGTGAACGTTAAATCAGGTTTATTTTGTACATAACAGATGTTTATACAGCAGTGGAGATTAGCCTGTATCCTGTCACATTTGTATGCAAAAAGAGTCCAAAGCTAAACGCGCACGCTGTCTGTGTGTGTGTGTGTGTGTGTATCTGTGTGTGCGACACTGTGTGTGACTCATCGTTGCAACAAATGCATCAAATACTCTTTGGTAAAGTTCTTACTGTAGTACAGTAGTACAGTTCTCACAAACGCTGCGTGAGATCTGCTTCCTTTATGTCTGCCTGTTGTCTGAATCTGCTGAGGGAGGATGTTAAGGCACGCAGAAAGGCACGTAGAAAGTGGGCGGGGAGGACTCGCCTTAAAGACGCAGTACAACAAAACCGCCTCTTAGTGCAATCAGGTATAAGACAGAATCTTATAAAGGGAAAAATAAAAAATCTGATGAGTGTTTTGAGCTGAAACTTTACAGACACATCCTGGAGAAACAAAAGACTCATATTAAATCTGAAAAAAGGGGTAACCTAGGTGCCCTTTAATAGCTAAATAACTTAAACACGTAACATTCGATGGTGGCGTTAACCTAATTAACCTAGTTCAGCCTTTAAACGTCACTTTAAGCCGTAAAGAAGTATTGTGAAGAATATCTAGTCTAATATTATGTGCTGTCACCATGACAAAGATTAAATAAATCAGTTTTTAGAGATGAGTAATTAAAAGTAATATGTTTAGAAACGTGTTGAAGAAATCTTCTCTCCGTTAAACAGAAATTGGGGAAAAAATATACAGAGGGGCGAATAATTCAGGAGGTTTGGTGCGGGGTCACAGCTGAACTTTTAATACCCTGATTTGGTGCAAGTTGGCCCTAAATTACTGTCAAATAACCATTTTTTATTTATTTTATTTAATTGTTTTTGAAGCATCAACAAGATACTTTTTCCCTATAAATTTTAGGGATTATTCTTTGATATATAACAATTAAAATGTAAATAATACTGAATTTATCACATTTATTTTACATAGCTCATTAAATTCTAAATATTTTGAATAATATAATATAATATAATATAATATAATATAATATAATATAATATAATATAATATAATATAATATAACATAATAATATGATATAAAATAACATAATATAAAATAACATAATATAAAACAATATAATATAATATAACATAATATAAAAAATATACAGAGGGGCGAATAATTCAGGAGGTTTGTGCTCCGGGGTCACAGCTGAACTTTTAATACGTGCATTTACACACACATGAGCCTGTTGTTTGGAGACCCCTGAAGCTCAGCATTAAACGGTGGTCATTTACACTGAACTGAGCGCCGGTGGTCAGAAGCTATTACTGGAGCAGCGCGTGTGAGATACTGGCTAAAACCAGCACTGAAGGTGAAGCGGAGGAACTCCAGCACGGCCCTGATAATGGCAGCACCAAGGGCAGACTGACCTTATCTCTGTTCATTCATCACACTGACACACACGCGCTCTGACAGCTTCGTCTGTGTGTGTGTGTGTGTGTGTGTGTGTGTGTGTGTGTGTGTGTGTGTGTGTGTGTGTGTGTGTGTGTGTGTGTGTGTGGATGCAGCACACAAATCAGACACTTGAGGAAAAACTACAGATGGAGCCTTTTCACAAGACTGTCATGACACGTTTAACGGTCACCAGCATCTTGGATCCTTGAAAATTTGTAATATTTAGATTTTTTTTAATAGAGGATGAATATTTATATGTATTTATGTATTTAGCATATCATCTTTGCATAACATGACAAAAACTATTAGGCTTTAGGCATTTCCAGAGGTGTAAAGAGTAGTTCATTAGAAGTTTCCCAGACATTGCAGGTACACAATGTCACTTTTAAAACGTGTGCATAAACAGCTAGGAAGGAAAGAAATATTTATTTTATAATCATGTTAATCATTTTATAATTATTCCATAAAATTGTTCTTTAACTTAATTTGTTAAGAAAGCTTTAGGGCGGCAGGATCAAAGATGATAATTATTTTATTTCAAGTCTGTAAGACCTTTTTGAGTTAATATTTAGGTTATTCACAAAAATATGCAATTTAAATTGTTCATGGGACTGAATGCAGTAAATAGTCTGTATAAAAAGGTTGAAAATAAACCTGTGCAAACAATCCAGCTGTTATAACCAACTTATTTAAGAACAGATGATACTACATTAAAATATTTCTAGTCTTTTAATAAGCATGTTGTGTACAAGATAGAGATGGTATGAAAAGTGAATTGTTTGTTTTTAAATTAGTGAATCGGAATTTGTCCAATAATAAACCTGAAACACACGTGGTTGTTGTCATACTGTGAACTCAGCCAATTGTGTAATAACGGTGTCGTCATCTCAGCACCTCTAGTTGCTCTTCAGACGCTGCTCCGGCTGAATAATATGTCTGATCTCGGAGCGCTGTCGCGGTACATTGATGCCACATGTGACAGTCACGTGGGTTGGTGGAGCATCAATTCGAACAAAAATCCATGCACCTCTTTAAGATAGATTTTGATCAATCTGCGCTGCGCTACATTAAGTCGAACGCACCGGTTGACTCGAGAACATGTGATCGGATAAGTCCAATTCACAAATGAATTATTCAGTCCAATTTGTGAACCGATTAAACAGGTTAAGCAAATTCCAAAATCAAACGCCACTATAACGTCTCTGAGCAGAGGATGATGAATAACTTTGAACTTTTAATGAAATTTGCACTATTTAGTTTTGGAATATAAAGGAGTAAAAGTAAAACCTTCCTAACATAAAAAATCCTCTGCTAAAATACAGATAATTAAAAATGTAATTATGTATGGTAGTGAAATAAAAATACTTGGTTAGTGTCCACCCTCATTACTTTAGAGGAGCTGGAGAAGTTTCCGGATCTGTTTCCACTTGTGCTGCGTGATTATTATACGCTTCATATGTGAAGTGTAAATCTGGCTGACCACAGTAAACCACAATCTGACGCTAACTTTCCCTGAGGGGCTTCAGCGGGATTATAAATGAGTCTGCATCTATAAACATACAGTTGCGTATGTAAACAAACGCCTCACGCTGGCCGGCCAACTAACCAGCTCAATTATAAATAAAGCAAATGGTTTATTTTGTCAGTGGTTTTCTGTCCTCTGAATGAACTGTGTCTCGTCATCTTTGTTTAGGCAGAGCCTGATTTGGTGCAAGTTGGCCCTAAATTGCTGTCAAATAACCTTTTTTATTTATTTATTTATTTGAATTGTTTTTGAAGCATCAACAAGATACTTTTTCCCTATAAATTTTAGGGATTACTCTTTGACTACCAACTTAAAACAATACACATATAACAATTAAAATGTAAATAATACTGAATTAATTACATTTATTTTACATAGC